TGTTTTTCACGATCGCATTCGATATAAGCAGTTAGCATTTCACTGAGCCAATCCCTAAAGGCTCACAACAGCTATAGTTCTCATCATTCCAACATCAGCGCTGCCACTTTTCATTTCAATATAGTTAAATGCAAAAAAATTGTTGTTTTGCATATTCAGGCCATAACGCAAATAAGCCCCCCTCTCAGCATATTCATGCTTTATTCATATTCAGCGCTCTGATCTTGTTCAAATGCAATAAGCCTCATGTAAGAGGATGCAAGTGCGACTATAATGCTGATCATTGCAGGTTCATTTTAAGCTGCCAGATTCCCAGTTTCAGGACTACAGCTGAAATCAAGTAAGTGTTTTCTCAAGCGAGATTCATGTTATGATGTTCAAATCCATATATAGGTTTCGGATGCGTCAGGTGAACATAGTGGGTACCAGTCCTCCCAGCCAGCCCTCCAGAAAAATTCAGACCCTACCAGCTCCTCCCGACATGGCCCCTGCCAACGTCACCCTGCGCACCGCTAGTGAAACAAGCCTCTGGTTACGATGGATGGTAAGGAGAAATCTTTTTCTAAAATGCCAGTTTTTGTTAGTGATGAGTTGAAGGAAACAGGCCTGTTAGTCAGTCCAATCTCTCTTAATGTGAACACCATCTCCTTCCCCTCAGCCTTTGCCTGAATGGGAATATAATGGGAATGCAGAGCAGGTGGGCTACAGGGTTCAGTACTCCCGTGCAGGCTCACAGGGCCATCCACTCACCCATGTTATTACCGACCGTCTGGAGAGAGAGTTTACTATTGAGGACCTGGAGGAGTGGACAGAATATGAGGTCAGGGTCCAGGCTGTCAACGGCATTGGAGTGGGACCCTGGAGCCAACCGGTCAGAGGCAGGACACGGGAGTCTGGTGAGTTCCACGCTGTGGAAAAACACTGTTTTGTTTGGAAAAGCAATGCACAAACTTCATTAGATTAGTCAAATCTTCTTTTTTCTGTTAAAGGTCAAATTCCTAAATTGCCTCACACATATTTCTGTGTGAACACCAAACACATTTTCACAACCCAGAAATAAAAACACGCTGATTACTTCTGTGAATACTGTATTTGCAGCATCTGTGCTGAATATCTTTTTTATTAGTCATATTAGAGGTGTCAAACAAACACTTAACACTTTGCCATATGGTAAATCCACGAGCAGATTGTCTCCTGCTCAGATGCCCTGCTAGAGTATTTTTAATAGCCTCTTTAATATAAGCAAAGACACTGCTTTTCCATCCTTGCGTCTGCTTTCAGGCTTTCACCAGGCATTGGACAGAAAGACATGGAAGGAGCTAAGAATGGAGTCTGAGGAAATTGAGAACACATGGACTTAAATGTGGAATTCCTGCGCTCTTTTTTCCCCATACTCCAGCAAATTATTAGGAATCAGGCTTATTGTCCAAGGATGAGTGCCAAGGAGGAGAAGAGCCCTATTCTTGAGGGTTTTTTTCCACCAAGCCAAAATAATAGAAGCTTCTGTGTGCATACGCAAACACAAATAATAAAACCTTCTCTATTTTAGATCCGTGCGAACACAGTAATTGCCCTCATACACAGGATATATGACAGACTTTTTGGAATATGTGGCAAACAGTAGGCTATCCAGCCCTCTAATCTCTTTATTGTTCCCAGTTCCCTCCAGTGGTCCCACCAACGTCTCTGCCTTTGCCACTACTTCAAGCAGCATCCTGGTGCGCTGGTTTGAAGTCCCAGAGCCGGACAGGAATGGGCTCATTCTGGGCTACAAGGTCTATTTCTGCTTTTTATATTTGGCAGCTATACACCTTTTATTTACTGAGCTTTCCGAGGCATCTAATTAGTTTGGAAAAAACTTGAGCTTCTTTTAAGCAGTGAAATACACACAGCATGGTTGCGCTTTTTGAGGCTATTTGTCCTACTTAATTTCCACATTCACTTTTCCCAACTTCTTTCTCCTGTCTCCTCACCGAGTCAGGTGGTTTATAAAGAAAAAGACTCGGACAGTCCAGTCCACTTCTGGACAGTAGAGGGGAATGCCACTCACAGTGTCCAGCTGACTGGTCTGGGGAAATATGTGCTCTATGAGATCCAAGTTCTGGCATTCACACGGATTGGAGATGGACGGCCGAGCTCTCCACCTATTCTTGAAAGGACCTTGGATGATGGTAGGAGCACAGGATAGAAAGATTAAACATTCCAGTTATGTAAAAATAAATAGCAGTTAATATTGTGCTGAATACTATGGTGAGAGAATTAAGAAAAGGGAGGGGCTACTTGTATGTAAACTTTAAATCTTTGTCTGCTCCTCATAGTCCCAGGACCTCCAGTGGGTATCCTGTTCCCTGAAGTCCGGACCACCTCAGTCCGCCTTATTTGGCAGTCCCCTGCCCAGCCGAATGGCATTATACTTGGTTAGTACATACTAAATGTTTTTTATTAAGATTTGGCCCCTAATTCTACTCCAGAAATCAACGGCAACAGTTTTTGCTCCCAATCATTGTAAACATACTTTTGCAAACTTTGATTTGTTTTTTTTCCCCCAACTAAGTGGATTAGACTGTATTCGTTGGGGGAAATCAAGTCTTGTTATTTTCCGGTTTGTAATAAAGGGACTGGGATTCCTTTGTTGGCTTACTGGGGATTTCCTTGTGAGTATTTATTCCATTAAACATCTGTTGGATAATTTAGTTTAAACTGTCCAGTGTGACAGACCTACAAAGTAGCATAGAGGAGCAGATGCTAATGAAATCCTGTCAGAAGGAACACAGCTGTCTGCAGCGCAGCTCGATTTCCCTTTTATTAACAGTATAAACAACTGTTTCTTCGAATACCACTGCAATACATGTTTCAGTCTAACCCAGAGCATCTTTGACAGCTTTATTAAGACCATTTGTCTCTTTTCCAGCTTACCAGATCACGTACCACCTCAACTCCACCAATAGCAACACAGCCACAGTGGATGTGCTGAACCCTAGCGCCCGCCAGTACATGGTGACTAACCTCAAGCCAGAAACTGTCTATGTGTTTCGCATTACGGCACAGACAAGGAAAGGCTGGGGCGAGGCGGCCGAGGCGCTCGTGGTTACCACGGAGAAAAGAGGTAACTCGATGTGGATTTTAATACTGACATATTAGAGCGCTGGATATGTGGGGGAGTCATAAAAACAACAATTTAATTGAGAATATGAATAAAATGTTTCATCTGATGCTGATGAAGTGGTGTTTGGAAGCGTAGTAGCAACTTAATTTGTATTTCTCTAACAATGCAGGAAATATAGTAACAGTTGTATAAATGGTGCTGAGACCTGAGAACGGACACATGTGTATGATCTCCGTAATGGCATAACATGCAGAGAGCTGCACTAAGCCTTCGTTGCACTTAGTTCATTTCCAGTCAACAGTTCAGCGAGCAGATGTGTTTTCTAGAGGAGTGTCTGTGCCCTGTGGGTATTTATCGAAGCACTCTGATGTCATTGTGAGAATGCATCGGTCCATCTGCTTCCCTCAAGGCATGTTGTGGATCGTGTTCTATGCTACTTTAGTTTCTCAGCTACTTTTCATTCCAGCACCAGAATCACACTTCCTTCTTTCTTGTCAGCTCTACATAGCTCATGCAAATATGAGTAAATGGAGTATATTTAAAAAAAAACTGTTTCTAATAGCTCCAGTTTTTTCCACCCGCACATCTCCAACGTCTCCAAACACTCAGTTTGCCCCAATTCATGTGTCACATGCACACACAGCAGCCGTCCGTTTCTCTTTCCCTTACTTGCCTCTGTTTTTGCTCCAGCTCGTCCTCAGCCTACCAGCCGCCCCCTGGTTCCTCAAAAACACGTTCAGGCTCGCCAGGTGTTACTTTCATGGGAGCCTGGTAGTGACGGCCTGTCCCCCGTGCGTTACTATACGGTCCAGCAAAGAGAGCTTCCTGAAAGCAACTGGACAGTCCACTCAGCATCTGTCAGCCACGAGGCCACAACCTACATAGTATCCAGGTAGAGTATCATCGAGTAACGACATCTGGTTACGTTAAGGTGTAAATTTTCACACTTTCATTCCCTTTATTAGAACAAATGTGTTCTCACACTTCTCGCTGACGCTTCCTCTTTAATATTCCCCTAGCTTTTGAATAGCTGGCATAAGAAATGTGTTCTTTTAAAGAGTAATGTTTCCAGAGGTTTGCAGTTTGGAACGTAAACGATGGAAATGCATTTGGCAAGTACAAATGTGAAAATGTATTTGCCATTAAGGTTCCAGTTTGGTTTAAAGTATGCCTAATAGTTTGCTTCTAAACCTCGCAGTGAGACTCTTTTTGATGTATGGAGTTTAAAAAGTTTCAATGCTGCAGTTTGTGATAAAGATTGATGTGCTTTTCTGTGCTTTCATCCCAAAGGCTGAAACCCTTCACATCTTACCAGTTCAGAATAAAAGCCACCAATGACATAGGGGACAGCGAGTACAGTCAGGAAAGTGAAGCAATCACAACTCTACAGGATGGTAAGAGTAACACGATGAGCAAAAATCTTTATTCTCGTCGTTTACAGCATAAAAATCTGATGACATGATGCATCGTTTACCTTGATCAGAAAGAAGTGGGTCTATTTTTGATTGCTGTTAACTAAGGTAAGACTAAAAGAGTTCAAGTTCAAGTCAAAACGTGCTTGTTTGGAGACCAGCCAGCTTGTGCAATCACCTTGCACTTAAACATGGCCCAGAGGTTTTTACATGCTTAACATCTGGACAACCAATTGGTCACCACAACTGCTTGGCAACAAAGAGGTTTGGGACAACTTGGCTGCCGACTGCAAGTTATTCAAAAATAAACTTTTTTGAACATCTATTTTTGCTCTTGTGTGACTCATCCTTAAGCACAAACTTGGTATAAAGGTGGAAATGTCTTGTCTGGTTTGCTCTGTAGCTACTAAGAAGTGCCTCTAAAGCTTACTCGTATGTAATTTTTTGAATGTATGCATGTCATATTGATGTATGACACATTTATGGTGTGTTGTGCAAGACACTTTCTTGGTGAATGTGGTCATTTTCATTTCGTGACACTGTCAAGTTGTCAGAAAGTGTGGACGCTAGTGTTGATTTTCACAAAACAAGCTATTCCTTTGTGATATCTTTTATATGTTAGCGTATAGTATCAAGTTGTTATTTAAAATGTAGGTTACGTTTAAACACAAAAAGTCCGAGGTATGACTTTGATCTGTATCATAGTGAAAACAGTTTTATGTCTGCATTAATTGGCCTTTTGCTGTGATTTGGACATTACTGGCAAAGACAACAACAACTGCACCATCATGAGACAAAAGAGCACCTTTATAAAAGAAAACAAAAGTTTGCCCAGTGGTGCTTATCCAAATCAAGAAACTGCTGATCTTTCCCTCAGCTATTTCTGACTCATCAATGGTTCTTCTGTTGTGGCTGTTGTGTATTTACGCTCCATGAATGCCACTGCACACGGATAGGTTAAGCATCTTGAATTGTGCCGATTTTCAGGTCAATTTAGCACATTTATTTCACTTTTATTACCCCAGTGCCTGATGAAGCGCCCTCGATTCTCTCTGTCACGCCACACACAACAACGTCAGTGCTGATCCGCTGGCAGGTAAGAACAAACAAAACAACTTTATATTTATGTTTTCAAACTTCGTGATCTATTCGAGTGTGGGAAAGTGGCTTCTAAGAGAGCTTGATAGCAAACAGCAAGGCCTATACTTACAGTATAAACTGATAAACACACTGCCACGCTGTCTGGGTAATAAAAAGCACCCTCGCCCGCATTCCCACCTGAATTAACAGGTCATAAAAAGAAAAACGGGAGGCTCTGAGACACAATTTTAGTTTTATGGAGAACACTTGTAGACTTTATGAGGATCGAGAGTTGCTTGTGCTTTTTTTCTTTCTCCTGTGGGTTTGTTCCTCTCATTGTTTAATCATAGGGGATTTTTCTTCAGCTTGGTGTGATATGGCGTGATTTTTCTTTCTGTCTGTGTATAACAGTTACTCTAAATCTTCTTAGTTGGTAAGTTAATGACAAATGTCAGTGATAACTGGGGTTTTTTTGGCAGTTTTTTAGCAGTGAAGAAAAAAACAATCAAAATTCTTGTTAAAAGGAGTTGAATCACTTGGATCGCATGTAGTCTTCCAGGCTATCTGTAGGTATCAGATGTACAGTGATGTGCTACATTAGACTAACAGTAAGTCTGCATTTTTCTCCTCAGCCCCCCTCAGAGGAGAAGATAAATGGTATCTTACTGGGCTTTCGCATTCGATACCGCGAGCTGCTGTACGACCGTCTCCGCAGTTATATTCACACAGTCAACAGCGCATCCGCCTGGGCTGAGCTCTCTGGTGAGAAATAACTGCAACCAACAAAATACATTTTCTTATGCCACCACCTACACTATAGGATCCTAAGAAAAATGAATTGTGTACTATAACAAGTGGTATGTTGCATTAACTGGAACTCTCCGGTGTGCGATTTGAAATGTGACATTATGAATTTAAAGACCATAAAGAAATAACCGAGGCTAGAAATTGCACATCAAGAAATACAGTCCTGCGCTTTACTTCAGTAACACATAATTATAAGTCTCTGTTATGGTTGATTATTCACATGCTGTCTTTATGCGTCAGCAGCCCCTTTTCCATTAGAGGAAAATTCTCACAAAGGCCTATACTGTTGCCAAGATTTCCCCACTGGTCTTGACACTTCACAGCAAAACATTTCATCTTGTGATCAGTGGTTATCAGCTGCAGGCTATTATTAGGTTTACTCTGGAGCCCTCTCTCTTTCTGCTGCTTTGTGAAACTTGGCCTATAATTTTCCTCTTGTTGACTCACTCTGTTGCTCATTCAGAGCTATGATCACCATCATTGGGTTGTTTTTTTCTTATAATAATGTTGCTGCCCTCATTAACAGCAACAAATTTTTGACTTTGAACCCTACTACCTTTGTCTCTCCACTTAACAGCTCTTTTTTTGGCTTTTTTTTATCCCTTTTATTTTCCGCAGCTCCCTACAGCCTCCGAAATCTGAGTGATTCAACGCTCACCCAGTATGAGTTAGACAGTAAGTTTGGTTATCTCTCTGCCTCTCGAAAGCACAAATATAAACACAATAATTCAATCTGCAAACAAATTAGGTTGAAAAAACAAAACCAAAACTATTTTCCTTTTGAATCTCAATTTTTTTCTCAAGTGCCCGGCTTCCTAGAATAGAGAACGCAGAGTGTTAAGCAAATTAACACAACATTTGGCTGCTTATGATCACATTGCTCGGTACAAACACTTCTACTGAGGCCAGTGGAGTGCTTTGTACATAGAAATTCTTGAACACTGAATACACAAGCGTGCCTGGTCCAGCATGCTCTTTGGTTTGCACATGTCAGCTTATTTGGATGAGCACTGCAAAAGCAGATGGTCACATATTTCTCCTGTACCCCCACAATGCACAATTCGACAGACTCATAATTACAGTGTCACTCTGTGAATTTGTAATTGAAATAGAAATGTCTTCCGAGGGCAGCAGTGTAAAATTCCATGTAGTGTTGTTGTGTGGGTGGGTGTGAAACCATTCAGGGATCATATCCTATTTATTACGTTTTCTACTTCAACTAATTGTTTGGGGCACCAGGAGGGGGGGGTGTAGGGATGCAGAAATGGATCTCCAGGAGGTCAGCAGACCTCTTTACAGCAATGGTGACTTTCATAAATGGGAAGATATTACCATGTAGGGATTTTCCATACATGTCACAGATTGGTGTTTGATATAATTCCTAACCTTATATTCCAAACTGTTTACTTCTACTGCAGAGCTAAGTAAACACAAGCGTTATGAGATACGCATGAGTGTGTACAACGCCGTGGGTGAGGGGCCAACCAGCCCTCCACAGGAGGTGTTTGTTGGAGAAGCAGGTATGCACACTTCCTCTTATGGGCAAATAGATTTTGGGGGGTCATTTATCTTTCTTAAATGCCGAGTCTGTTCAGTTTTAACTGAATAGTTCCTCCTTGAGGCTGTCATTTCCCTAGTAAACGCAACGAGCATAGTAATGAAAACAAATATTAAAATCGAAAAACGTCATCGTTAAATGCGATATATCTGATCTGGCTGTCACAGTGCCGACGGCCCCGCCCCAGAATGTGGCTATTCAGTCCGCAACAGCCACCCAGCTGGATGTGACGTGGGACCCTCCACCTGTGGATGCACAGAATGGAGACATCCAGGGATACAAGGTCAGAGTCTCTGCAAAGTGCCGCGTCTGGCACAGGCTCAACATGCCTTACTGGCTCACTTTTATAGTGCAGCGTAACAATACAACAGTGTTCTGTTTTTATCATTAAATATTTACATTTTAGTGGCTCACATGAGATTACATCCATCTGTTGTTAATCACTATTAAATTGATCATTTTACACTTTTAGCGAACAGCGTTTTCCAGAGGGGGTTTCAGTAAAAGGTTCCGTCTGCTGCTCAAGAAAACATTTGCAGGGAATAAAATATAATTGTGTATTTCCCATAGGGGAGTTTGAAATGGGACTGAGTTTCATAGAAGCAGAAATTGCTGCATTCCCTGAACAGTATCTGTAGATATTTATTTATGTCTGTGCTATTCCATGTAGATTTACTTTTGGGAATTCCAGCGTAAGAACGAGACTGAGCGGATGCGGACTCTGTTTATGCCTGAAGGAGGGGTGAAGCTGAAGAATTTGACTGGTTACACCACCTATATGATCAGCGTGGCTCCATTCAACGCCGCTGGGGACGGACCCCGAAGCCCACCAACGAGAGGACGCACTCAGCAAGCAGGTAAACGTGACAATTAGACGCCAGACGTGGCTATACAAAATCGTTTATCAGTATGAAAGAGCACAACAGTCGGGATCAAGCATATGTAGTAGAACAAATATTTCTGTATATAACGCACGCACACATGATGGAGATGTTTTCTAAAAGAAAAGACAAGCTTAAGACGAATGTGGTAACATCATGACAAGACTAAAGCAGATAAATTAGAGCGTGTACAGCCGTGTTTATTCATTTGTCATATTTATGTGCTGGTGGCAGCACCGATGTTAGTTTAGAGAACCCTGAGAGTTTTCTCAAAGTGGATGAGTCAGCCATGGGGAAAGAATTTGATTTGACGATGATGCTAATCGTTGTTGTCAGCAGCATGCCAAACGATGTTAGCGGAGCCACACACGGAGCATAAGTTTCTAATCAGCTAAGCCATTCGAAACTTACTTGCTGAATTTCATCTTTTGTCTGATGCTATGAAAATTTTGTCAGCGAGCTTTGAGTCTCCAGGCGTGCTTTATCAAAAAGGACCCCGTGCGTTGCCCCCTTTCTTTGTTCTTCTTCTTCTTTCTGCGACTCGTGGGACTTTCTACCCGCGTGCCCATCTGCAAACGTGTCAAAACAATATTTATCTTCCAAAAAGCCATTTTTGATGCGCTTTACTACTGTGTCCCAGACTAGTAAAAAGGGGGGAAAGGAAGGTGTGCACAGATCCTCTGTTTTCCCCAGTGCTTGCTGTTTTGAGAGGAGGAAGCAGATGACAAGCTGGGAAGGGGGTGGCATGCATTAGGAGGATAGTTATCCCTTTTTCTTTTTTTAAACAAAGAGGCTTTGTCTATTGCAAGCGTCTCACCCCCTGCTCAAGAAGCTTAAAGGCAGCAGAGGAAAATGTGTTTCTCAGCACAGTGGTTTCAAGAGTTCAGACTGTTATAATGGGGTCTCGAGGCAAAGAGTGTTCATTGTGATTATGAATTGCTCTGCCCAAGGTCAAACAAGTATACGTAAGTAATGCAGAACCTTTAACTCTGTATGTAGTTTAGCAAAAAGTTTTTTTTATATAATCAGTGGAGTTCTGCTCATGTGCGGAGACTCAGACTTGCAGCAGTGGTTCTGGACCTCCAGAAGATTTCTACTATATAAACAAGAAACAGCACCAGTGGACAATTGTGATATTTCCACGTTTATCTATATTTTGTTGTTAGCCTGAAGAATTCCCTTAACAAGAAAAAGAATTGGGTGAATACCGTAACACCAACCATTAGTTTATGTACCATTATGGAACCTTTATGGCATCTTTTCATGTTTGAGGCCTTTGATGTAACCATGGGAAGGACCACCGTATTGATCAGACAGAAGAAATATATGTCATGACATTAAAATGGCTCGTGCAAAGATTTACTTGGTATTTCATGAGAGAAGTTCAACTAAAGGCTAGTGAAGCAAGGGTTGTTTGTTTGTTCAATCCACTCATCTGGTTGTTTTTTATTATTTGACAGAGTCATTCTACAAAAATTTTAGATGTTTTTTTTTTGTGATCAACATTTTATTGATTTAAAACGGGGTTGGGGGTGCAGACATATACAGCACAACTGTAAACTGCAGTAGCAAAGCAAACATTGGTCACAGGGCATAGGGACAGCAAAGAAAAAACACAAAGTTAAAACCAATTATTGCCTCTTCCAGGAGATAACTCTGGATGAGAAGATTTCCCAAGCTTCAACAGTCGCGGGCCGAGCTTTATTTAATTTTGCTCTGCTATGTTCAAAACCAATAACACGGATAAGACATCGTCTCCAGAATGATTCCATACAAATGTCAGGACTGAACCATTGCTTCGAAATAGTCTTCTTTGCGGATGTGAATCCAGCGAACAACATTTTGCATTGTATTTGTTTCAAGGAGATTTCAGAGGTATCATTAAGGAGACAAAGACCAGGATTGGGAACATAAAATCTTCCAGTACCTCAGATAACACAGAGTTCACAAAGACCCAAAAATTGGATACAACAGGACAGTCCCAAAACATGTGCAAAAACGTGCCAGGTGATGAATCATTGCAGATGTGACAGTGATACGTAGCCTGTAGTTTCATCTGGAACCTCCTATAGGGTGTAATGTATGTTCTGTGGATGGTTTTGAAATGAATTAATTGATGCGCCAGGTTCTTAGAAGTCAAACTCAGATTAGACAAATATTTTCGATGTTTTTGACCTCTGTATGTTTCAGCTCCCAGTGCTCCCGGCTTCATTCACTTCAGTGAACTGACCACGACCTCCGTCAACGTGTCCTGGGGCGAGCCCACCTTCCCTAACGGCATCATTGAGGGCTACCGTCTGGTCTATGAACCCTCCACACCTGTAGATGGTAACAAATTCTTAACAATGTCAGTTTTCTCTGCACTAAATGGCTGCTGGCTATAAAAGCTTAATGCACACTACAAGATCGGAAGTTTTAGAGTCCACGCTTTTGCGTGTCAGTCGACCTTCTTGCGATCTTGTGATGTGCATTTCTTGAGCTAAGCTAACCATTACATAAACAGCTCATTATTCATTGCAACCTTATACATATCTACTACTATCATCTTAAATAATACATTGCTTCGGTGCCAAAATGCAAACGTGTTTCTAATCCCATTACTCTCTGTGTGCATTTGCGTATGTTGGGTGTGCTTGCACATTGCCTGGCCTGTGTAAGACCTGCTTTAAATGTGGTGTGTTTGTCTAGAGTCTTCAGTGGCCTGTGCCGACTGTCTCCACTCCCCCTCCCCCCCAGGCGTCAGTAAGACAGTGACGGTGGATGTGAAGGGGACCGGCCCTCTGTGGTTGAAGATCAGAGACCTGGCAGATGGCGTCACGTACAACTTCCGCATCCGGGCCAAGACCTTCATCTACGGGCCTGAGGTGGAAGCAAATATCACCACGGGACCAGGGGAAGGTAGTTGCAGTGATGTTTTGGAAAGCTGACATTTTTGTCACTAGCCCTTTAAACACTTATTACTATGTTATTCTTTCTCAGGTGCCCCAGGACCCCCTGGAGAGCCATTTATTACGCGCTACAGTTCGGGCCTCACCATTCACTGGACCCCTGGAGACCCAGGACGTTCTCCCATAACACGCTATGTAATTGAGGCCAGACCCTCAGGTAGGGGATTTAGTACAGTGGTTTTGAAAGTGGGGTCTTGGGGAATCAGAGGGGTCAGCCATCCATAGCCAAGGGGACTGTAAAATACATTTTGCTGTAATCTTGGAAATTAATATCTAAATATTAAGACTAAATATCCCATCTATATCCCAATTTGATATGGTTGTGAGACATGAGATTCCATCTAAGAGTGCAAATGGAAGCAAGCATGTTTTTGAAAGACGTTTGGAGAGTCCATGCTCTACAGGATCGCCCCATCACTGGCCTTATGTTACCTTCTGTGAGATTTTGATTAAGGAAAGTGGTGTACAGTGTCAACATCTGCTGCCCTGGAGTCAGTGTCCCTGGCATTTTAATGGGTTATTGATTCAGGCGCTACAGTCAAGACAATTGGCGTCCTCTTTCAACTGTGATTGACAAGTCCTGGCATGGCAATGAGGGTGATGGATGGTGGGTGACTCACAGGCAGAGATGTGTTTCACCGCTCCTGAGTGAGAATCGGAAAGGCTATCTAGTCCTACATTTTAAAGGTTTGCAAGGACTGATAGGTATTTTATGGCAGTATAGATTGAATGGAGGGGGAGGGGCTTTCCCATATCCCATATCCCCCTTATCCATATGCCAGTGGTGATAAGTTTCTATAGTATCCAGTTAGTTGAAAACTTATTTTTGCCTTTAGATCAAATTACGCTGTTTTTTTTAAAATGTTTGTCAAAGTTCAGCAACATAAAAAATTTATATCCATACTTGGTTATATTTGTGTACCCTATCAAGGAGTCATAGCTACACATTTATTTACAAGCAGCAGGGTGTAATAAATGATCTCTGGCATGATTTCCATAGCAAGCAGCAAGACATCTAACGCTGCTTCATTTGAAATATGGCTGCTCCGCTATTTATGTTGTAGAATTTGTTGGTTGTAAATTTTTACGAGAGCAGTGAAATTGATGGATTGTGTAATATTTTTAAGAATTATCAATTACCCTCGGAGCTGCCAGCCAGGCCGGAGCCTTGTATCAAACAAACAAACAGCCTGTTAACAATGACATATTGACACTGTTTAAATATTTTTTGCTTGTTTAACGAATATCGTCAGCCTCCTCCGACCCAATTTGTCCATTAAAATTCCATTACAGATGAGGGTTTGTGGGATATCTTAATCAAGGACATCTCCAAGGATGCAACATCGCACACGTTCAACATGGACATCCTGAAACAAGGTGTCAGTTATGACTTTCGGGTCATCGGAGTGAACGACTACGGTTATGGCTCTCCGAGTCTACCTTCTCCCTCCATATCTGGTGAGCTTTCTTGTATTTGTTAATAGAATGGAATGAACTGAATTACATTAACTTTCAGGCTTAATTAAATCCCCTTAGGTCATTCAGACTTCACAGGAATGTGGCTACATGTTTTTAACAAGCATGAATTTCAATTTTCTGGGTTTTTTTTTTTTTTTCTTATCTAGCCCAAAAAGTGGCTCCTTTCTATGAGGAATGGTGGTTCCTGGTCGTGGTGGCTCTAGTGGGACTCATCTTCATTCTGCTGCTAGTTTTCATCCTCATTATCAGAGGACAGAGCAAGAAGTATGCAAAAAAGTCTGAATCAGGTGAGTACACACAGTTGTGCAGCTAAGTGGAACGTTTAACTATCATGGAAGTTTGTATTTCGCTTCCAGCCTGGTGGCATGGAGGGCATAGGAATCTGATAACTTGCCTTTTTTAAATAAAAGAGTAAAACTTATTACAGGGATTTTATTATTATTATATTACTTTTGAAATACTGAGCAGAGAAATTGAGTTCACTTTGTTTTGTAGAGGGGTGAATTCTGCTTTTGAATGAATCAGGTCACTGACTGGGTTGCAGGGGAATAAAAAGCAGAGAAAGAGAGAAAGGAAGCAGGAATGGGGGGCATACTTGTCCATTCAGAGCAGCTCTGACATCAGCGGGTATTTCCCTCAGCTCAGCACTTTTGCCAGGGCTGTTTAACTGCCAGGCAGGGGAGGGGTGGGGTCCCTGTGGGTCACTGCCCATCTTTCTGACTGATGGAGAGAAAACAAGAGGTTCCTTCTCATTCCAGCACAAAGACACTCTCAAAGCCTCCATATCCTCCTCTAGGAATCTGGCCC